GGGCTCCCAATGGGTACAGGTAGGACACACGGTCCCAGTGCACGTTAAAGACAGGTGGGGGGGGGGAGCAGGCAACACAATCGGGGACCAGGTGGACCAGCAAGCGGGCGCTGCGAGTGGACCGTGTGCGTCTCAAGTGTGCCGCTACTGCGCCCGTCAGGCTGCGCGTGCCTGCGCCGAACGCCCGACGGGGGCGCATGTGGGCAGCCAGGCTCCAGCATCAGCCTTTCCAGCCAAGGCTGTGGGGGAACAGGTAGGGGGAACAGGAAGACACAAGGTCCCAAGCCAGGTGATGAGGGAGGGGGAAGGGGGAACAGGTGGTGGGCGTGGCCAGCGGTGGGTGGGACCAGGACCTTGCCGCAAGTTGTTGGGAGCGTAAGAAGGCGGTCGCGGCGCGCAATGCCAGACAGGGGAGGCCCGGTTGCAGGCTGGTCAGCGCCTGGGGCGCTTCCCGGTCCAGTTGTCGTTGTACCCGGAGCTGCGTGCCTAGTCCTCCCCGCGCCCTTCACCTTTGGCAACTTCCCTTTTCTTCTGGACGTCTTGGTACAGGGCCTTCTACCGGTCCCAGTACACGTAGACGCCGGTGTTGCGAGACCACATCCCCACGTGATGGTTGCAGCTGTCCATATCTTCCTGAAATTTGTCGATAATCCTGAATTGCCAGCAGTTCGGGTCGAACGCGACCTGGTCTTTGGATTTGCCTTTGCCTTGCTCCTTACACATATGCCTGCCCAACACGCAGCACACAGGCAAAAATACTCGACCCCCCCTCTCCCCTCCTCCCCCAGAAATGGCTGGCAAGACGGCAGAAGGCCTGAGTGATAGGGATGGGGAAGGAAATAGGGGGGGGAGAGATGGCGAGAGAAACAGAGGCTGTGGGTGCCTCTAGGCTGCCTGACCAAAACCGCAATCGGCAGCAAGGTCACTCAGGGGCGGGAAGGGGCCCTCCACTCCCCCACCCCCGCCCAGAAATCCTCCGCCTCCCCCATCCTCCAGGGCGAGAGCCAGCTCCGCAGTGGGGCAGGTGCTGACAAGTGAGGGAGGGGATAAGGGGAAGAAAATAAGGTTATCCAGACAGGCACAGGAGGACTCAGGCGGGGGCAGGACGGGGAGGAGGCCTATACGGGGATCGGGCCCAGCAACGTTACGACAAAAACTGTTTCGCATCTATCTTGTAGCATCCAGTCACCCACATGACCGAGAGTGGAAAACACCTCTGGAATCAAATTGGAGAGATGGAATTTCAAGGCTAACGGCGCCTACCCTGGCTCCGGCAGTGTGGCCAGCTCCCGCTTGGTCTGGCGGCCCGGCTCCGTTGCAACATATTCTCCCTCCCATAATTTCCCAACCATCCTCCCAATTGCGGGCCTCACGGAATTGAAGAGGCATGCTGAAGGGGAGTGCGAGCTAGTTGAGGGAGATTAAAGGGTGATGTGCAGAAACACTAGCCTCCACGAATTATGATACGCATATCGAATTATGGGCCCAGCATTGGCACGCTCTGCACGTGAAAGCTGTTTTTATCTAACAGCGAAGACTGATAGGTTTCTAGTAGGGTCAGAAGAGAGCATCATGACTTCCCAGGGGGGTCTGGGCGGCATCCGGACAGGGATCCGCGGAAGTCGTTTTAAGCAAACAGTTACACACTTCGTGGTCTTCGAGGTCCCAGAACTCCATTCCTGGGTATGATTTTGAATGATCGGAGCCAACTGTAGGCCACTTCGTGGTCTTCGAATTCCCAGAACTCCATTCCTGGGCATGACTTTGAATGCCCGGAGACAACTGTAAGCCACTTCGTGGTCTTCGAGTTCCCAGAATTCCACTCCTGGGCATGATTTTGAATGCCCGGAGCCAACTTAGGCCACTTCGTGGTCTTCGAGTTCCCAGAACTCCATTCCTGGGCATGATTTTGAATGCCCGGAGCCAAATGTAGGCCACTTCGTGTTCTTCGAGTTCCCAGAACTCCAGTCCCGGGCCACATTTTGAATGCTGAGGCAGGCTGAGGTTGAGGCTGATGCAGGCTGAGGCTGAGGCAGGCTGAGGCTGAGGCCGAGGCTGAAGGCAGACCGAGGCTGAGGCTGAAGCAGGCTGAGGCTGAGGCTGAGGCAGGCTGAGGCTGAGGCTGAGGCAGGCTGAGGCTGAGGCTGAGGCTGTAGATGGCAGGCTGAGGCCGAGGCTGAAGCTGGCTGAGGCGTTCGAGGCTGAAGCATGGCGTCGCTAGGCTGAGGCAGATGCAGAGTAGGCTGAGTGCAGGCTGAGGCTGCAGGACTAGGTGGGCTAGGATGAGGCTTGATGGCCTGGCTGAGGCCTGAGGCAGGCTGAGCGCTGAGGCCGACGGCTGAAGGCCAGACTGAGGCTTGAAGGCTGATAGCATGCTGAGCAGGCCTAGAGGCTGATGATGAGGCGATGGCTGATGGGGAGCGCCAGGCTGGGAAGGGCTGAGATGGAGGCGGACGAAGGCTGTGGCTGAGGCAGGCTGACGGCGAGAGGGGCCGAGGCTGAAGGCAGATTGAGGCTGAGGCTGAAGCAGGCTGAGGCTGAGGCAGAGGCAGGCTGAGGCTCAGGCTGAGGCAGGCTGATGCTGAGGCAGGCTGAGGCTGAGGCTGAGGCTGATGCAGGCTGAGGCTGAGGCTGAGGCAGGCTGAGGCTGCGGCCGAGGCTGAAGGCAGGCTGAGGCTGAGGCTGATGCAGGCTGAGGCTGAGGCAGACTGAGGCTGAGGCAGGCTGAGGCTGAGGCTGAGGCAGGCTGATGCTGAAGCAGGCTGAGGCTGAGGCTGAGGCAGGCTGATGCTGAGGCAGGCTGAGGCTGAGGGTGTGACTGCGACTGCCGTTGCCACTGCGACTGTCATCGCGAATGCGACTGCGACTGCGACTGCGAGAACAGCAGAATTCTACAACTGGATTCTCATCTGAATCTTAAGGGGAATGCTTCCAGATATGCTCCTATACATCGCTGTTAGGTTGCTTTGCTGGGATAGTCAATTTCTTACACCTCTTGCCACACATGTAACATTTGGCCTTGTCCGTTGTCGGAGCATCGACCGTGAAAAGCGAAAAGGCATGATTCACAGTATGTCACCGAGCACATGGCAAAGAAGCTGCCTGAGGCTACGGCATCAGCTCGTCGACGTCGTTGTCAGCGCTGGCCTCAGACGGGATCGTGGCATCGACAAGGGAATATTTCTGATCATTCTCGCTATGGTCTGCCTCCAGTTGGCACTCACTTAGTTTCATCAGGAGGCCGTTCATGGGAATGCGAGTCGTGTCCAAAAACTTGTCGTACTCGCTGGCCTTCCGTTCGCCCTCACTCCCTGTACTCTCAGGAAGCACGAACACATCAGAACGGTGTTGTGCCGTAAACCAATCGTTCCTTCCAACTCCAATGCCTTCTGCTGTAGTTGCTGGGATAACGCGCCAGAAGCGGCCCCAACTGTCGCGTCCACCAGCGCGATCTCGTTCAAGAAAAAGCAACCAGTGGATGTCTTGATGTCGGTCTGGCTCTCCACGTCAATGCCGTAGCGCGGCTGGTTGCCCTCATACGCAACAGCTTGCGTCTCCACATGAACGCACATGTCGTGGACGTCAAAGAACTCTGGCTGCGGCTTGGCGATGTTGTCATTCTCTCTCTTCTCCGTGGTGTCACCGATCGGACCAGAATGGTGCGAATTCTGTCCACCTCCTCCCCTCGACTGGAAGATGTCGAACACGTTGTAGAGAGAGGATCGTGGCCCTGTAGTTGGCCACTTGTCCGCTTCATTTTGGCCCACCACTTGCCGTGGCCGTTGAGATCGGCCTGCGCCTCTCGCGCGAATGAGTCGATGCTCGCGTGGGAGATGTGGAAGACTAAATTGTATGCGTGGTCTATGTTGAGCAGCTCAGCTTTAAACGAAGAAGACAGGGACGGAGAACTTCGAGCTGCAGACGCGAGCCCTCTGATAGTGTTGGCTTGACGTTGCGGACAGCAGATCCAACGGAACATCGCGCAGAGAGTACACAAACAGATGTTTCTACATGGAAGGTGGAGTGAGAAGATGGGCAATACGCCTCCTCCTCCTCCTCCTCCTTCTCCTCCTCCTCCTCCTCCTCCTCCTCCTCCTCCTCCTCCCTCTCCTCCTGATTCCCAATGTTTCCTGCTTCCTGATCGTCGAA